TATCCACAGTTCCCTAAGACTTGGTATATTTGCTCTATATTTGCTCTCGTTGATTTATGTTAACTATTTTAGATCTGTTCTGATTAATTTAAGCCAAAGCCAGTGAGTGCTCGCTTTAGTGGAGGTATACTGTAGTAGTACTGTTGTAGCTATTCATCATTAATATACATATTTTAATCTTATAAACTATTTATTGCCAACTTGTTTTCGTGAAACAAGTGTTGAAGGTATTTCTAGCACAGATTTTGTAGATTCTGCTCCATCGCAGATACCCTGCACTGGGAATGCAGGGTATAGACACGTGACGCTTCACTGAACACCGGTAGTGCATCAGCTTGTTGTTTTTTAAGCTCTTTGTGACTGCTGTCCATTGTTATTGTTGTTAAATGAAAATCATTTTCGCACGAAACAAACAACAAACAAAAGTACTTCAGTGCGAACTGACTGACTGACTGGGTGATACCCTGAATAAGGCAACGTATCGCTGATTTCAGTTAGTACAAAGCGTATATACCCCCTTTGCTGGATACAGCTCTACAAGGGTATTCCAAAATGCAACAAACTCAGAATGCATTGTTTACGAACTAAGAACAATATGTTGCTGCAAAGCCTAGCCCACAAAAGGATACCAATTTGTATATATGTATATATGGCAGATATACTATAGACTTATCTATATAGCTGGATATTACATAAGCACAATTAAAGCTGGGGAATTTCCGGCGACAGCAACAACAACAACAACTGAATACCTGTAATTAACAAGGCAGGCAATTAAACGACCCATAAGCCCAACGATCGTAAAACTAATATATGTATACTATATATATTATATACAGATATAAAAGAATTAGAGGCGTACAGGCCTAATACGACCAGAGCTTTATATTAAAGTACATTTTTTAATACTTTGAATACCGCAAATATGTAGCTTTTTTTTATTTAAATATTAGTATTAGTTTTTAGATTGAATACAAGGTTTTCTGAATATCGAATAGAAATCACGACACGTACTCCACTCTAGCTTAAAACACAAAGTTCGCAAACGAAATGAGGGAGGGGGAGGGTGTAAAAAAAATAAGTACAACTCGAGTCCATTTACAGTGCATATGCTCGTACTTAAAAAAATGGCTGTGTACTTGACGAACGATATTGATGACCCCGTCAGGTGTCAGGTGCGAAATTCTTTCTGTTTTTTTTTTTCACGTACAGGCGTTACAAAGTTTGAAGTTTCGTTTACCCACCCGTTGCCGTTGTTGTTGTTGTTTAACAAGCCATTGCGTGTTGTTGTTGTTGTTTCGTTAAATTTTCGCGCGTTTCGTTAAGATTTGTAAATTCGTTCGTTTTATTATTTTTTATTATTACTGTTATATATATATATATATTTTTATTTTTATTTTTTTGTAGGAGCTTCGAAGCTTGAACTTCGAAGGCAGCCGTTACACTGAGGCGGCGGCGAAGAGAGAGTCCCACAAAATGGCGAGTGGCTACTACCAAGCATGAGAGCGAGAGCGAGAGCGAGAGAGAAAGACAGAGAGCGTAAGCGACAAAGAGATGGAGCTAGCCCGCGTTTAGCCGACTGCGTGAGTTGTGTGTGTGTGTGTGAGTGTGTGAAGCAGGCTGCGGGCTTATTGTGCATGTGTGTACACAGTGGCAGCGCATGTATTGGTGGGCCGCAGTCATAATAATAAATTAAATACGTTATCAAAGTACAACAGCGGTCGCTACGTTGATTATGAAGTTATATGAATGTTGGCCCGTTTTGATTCAATTGTGCATTAAATGCCGGCACACACAGACACACACACACGCATATCTACAGTCAAGAATCGGGAAAGGGCGAAGGAAACGGCAAAAAAGCAAAAATAATATTGATAGCAATTTATTATAATGATAGAATTGTTTGGGAATATGTTTTTATATATCGAAACAGAAGTATATAAAATATATAAACGTACATATATTTATTTATATGAAATGTGAAATGCTTCCTTCCTCAACAGTTCGTTAATGGAGCTTCCACTGTATCTTTGCACATGTGTATTTGTTTTTAATATATATACATATGCACACATATATGTATGTATTTATTTATGACTAATAACTAACAAAACAAACCAAAAAAAAAAAAACTGAAACAGTAGCAGATTAGCAATTAAATAAAAGAAATAAAGAACTAGCTTCGTTATTGGACATTCCTTTCTGGGTGGCTAACAGGTGGCCACTAGTGGGCCATTCCGCATTACTGTTATTGTTGTTGCTGGATTTGTCACGCGCTGCGCGTACGTACAGTGAGCAGCAGCTGCCTCCTACCGGCCTCCCTGTCTCCCGCCTACCGTTATCGCAGTAGGTTGTGCAAACACATACACACACACCCACGGCTCATTGCGTTCGCTCGCATGTGTGTGTGTGTGTGTATGTGACTGTGTGTATGCATAGATAGATAAGCGTCAGTGCGTACACAATCAAGGTACGCTAATTATAACTACAAATAAAGCCTAAGTAACATTTGTAATGGAAGCAGCAACAACAACAATAACAACAACAACAACAATAAACACACGTACACTCATCAAACACTTTGAGTCCGCATGTCCCTGTCACAATAATCGATAACAAAAACAAAATATTTGTAGCGTATGAATGCCCCTGAGGCCTTTAATTACTGGTCAATCAGAGCTCATCAGTGCTGCGAATTGTGTTTGTGTTTTTATCGCTAAATTGTTTTTTTTATTTAGTTTGATTTTTGTTAAAGTTTAAGCCCATGGGAAACACACCAGTCAACATATAAATAGGTTAATTATTAATAAATATATTTCAAGCGAATACATAATCTCAGTAAAGCATTTTTAGCCTTTAAAGTGTAGCTTTTTATAGCTGTTTCTCAACACTGTTGGCAATGCATATGAAATGAGAAAAAAAAAACGCATTCCGTTAGTCTAACTTGCATTGTGGAATCTAATTGGGTTCTCTGTTAATTTGAAATAAGGTCACATTGACAGTTGCCATGCTCAAATAGGAGTTGATTTGCAAGCGGAGACAGTCCTAAGCACGAAACCACCCCGAAAAACTCGCTCAGTTCACACCTTAATGTACGCTTGTATGTGCATGTCGATATATTAATATTTTGTTCATTTTATATAGTCACACTAAAAAGCAATTAATACAAAATCTCATCACTAGGGCACCCACGTTAACCCACACACACACACACACTCGCACACTAAGCCTCATGTACATGTATTATGGGCTGGCGACCTTGTATTAGGCGTATGATGGGCATAGACAAACGGCAAAATGTGCTAATACAGGTGTAGGTCCGTTAGAAAGCTCTCTCACACACTCGAATTGTGAATATCATTCTCTCATTCTTACTTACCATGCTGTTGGTCACGAAAAACACAAATGGCTGCTTCCCAATGGAACAAGGAAGAGGAACTGGCAGGCAATGGCGCGTTGTTGTTGTTGTTGTTTTTGTTGTCGTTGTCGCGTTGTCGTTGCAGGAGCGGTCTTCGGTCAAAAGGCGTTGCTGTGTGCTCGATAGATAGGACGCCCGGGTATCAGCCAGTCACGCACGCAATGTGGGAAGGGCAGGACTCTCCTTGCTGGAGTGCGCACAGGGTGTGTCGTGTGTCTGCACGCGCTTCGCGTAAACAAACGAAACGGTTACGCGAATATCGATGACGCCCAAAGAGCAGAGCCGTTTCACGTTACGATGCGCGGGTGTGCGGAGTATTTGAGCACAAGGGGACTCTGGGCGGATGCTCGCTTGTTCGCTTGCTAACTATCTCTTTCTCTTTTCCTCTGCTGATGCTCTCTTGTTGCTAGCTGTGGCAAATGTCGGCGCCGATTTGTTTGGTTTATTTTTATACATACAATTCGAATGTTTCCTTGGCGTGCTGCAGCATCAACAAATTTCATTAATATTTGCGATTTTTATTGAATTCAATGAGCACACATCTTAATATTCACAAGAGTATATGTATAAATATATATATATCTCTTTTTTATTTTAAATATGCCTCGGTAATTTCTTCAGCTGCTCTCTTTGCGTCTTACACCCGGCGACAAGCGTTTGATTTTTGCACTCTCCTCTCCACTCTTCCTCTCGTATGTTCAACCTTTACCCAAAGCGAAGCGAATGATTACAACAAAAACACAACTATTTGGTACGGAAAAAGAAGCTAAAGCAATCGGGTCAAAATTAGTTAAAACATATATCGATCGATATTTGGCAGGAGAAACAAACGAATCAGTTTTTTTTCTGTTGGATTTTTTTTCTTTTTATACAGGCGCGATGGTAGTGGCGGCACGAATATTGCAAATTGATTTTTTTATTTTGTGCGAGTGTTTTCCGAAACTGTAGCTTAGTGGATGGCTACTACTAGTGTTTAATTGCTTGGCGCGCACATTTTGCCGTTTAAGCCCGAAAAAACAATGACTGTTTTTCTTTTCTGAGTAATAGCTAATAAATATAAACCGCCGCACTGGCAACGCGACCGCAACAACAAAACACTAGTGCCATAAAAAAATTAATCGATGAGTTATGCGCATCACTAGTATTGCGACAACCAACTTAACATGCGCTGTTAACACATATCGCTTTATAAAGCAATCGATATTTGAAATATCGAACAAGGACAAACTCAATAATTAAAAAACCTTAATTTTTTATGAATGCCAGAGTATAATGAGCTCAAAACAGTTTGTAAAATATTTATTAATTTTCAAAATCATTTTGTCACTCTGGAAGCCATATTAATATAATTACGCGGTTTGACCATATATCGATAAGTGTGTAATTCAGTATTTTATATTTTGTGTTTTATTTTATAATTTACCTTTACGGATCATTGCACAGAAAAAAAGAATGTATTCAGTTGCTTACATGTGTTCAGTTTGTTTTAGGATATGAAATTAAAAAATAGTATTTAGTGTATTTTCGCAAATACCAAATAGGTATTTCCATATGTACTTCCATCGATATCGATAAACATTACTTTATTAGCGTGCGACGTGCGCTGCGGACGTATGTTACGTGTGTTTTCGGCTTGTTAACTTTTTTTTTATTGTTTTCCTCTCTTTTTGTTGTTGTTGTTATTGTGCGTGTGCGTGACTGCAGCTAAGCGCAGCCGTAACAAGTATCAAATATAACGAAATTTCAATAAGTTGCCAAGAAACAAGCCAACAGCAATTGTATATGCAGCGTTCTAAGGCAATGGCTGTGCAGAAAACTTAAACAAACAAAAGAACTAGACCAAAGGTAAAGAAGCAAAGAAGAAAAAAACGTGTGTTGGGTCGTAGCCGCAACCGAAGCGCGGAGCCATAGGCAGAGCCAGAGCTCAATCGTGTGCACGCTGCTCCAAGAGGCTGAAGCTGAAGAAGTGGAAGAAACAGCAGCAGCAGCAGCAGTAGGCGAACAATTGTTCAATTGCCATTGCGACTCGGCGCTCTCTGTCATTCTTTCACACTCATTCTCTCCTTCTCCTTCCCCCTCGCCGCTGCTGCTGACCGGCCGCCTGACCGTCAGCGTCGTCATTCGTTTTGTCGTTGCCTTTACCCGTCGTCTGCTCTCTAAACGCGCGCGTTCGTCGCTTTTCCTCTTCCGGCCTGGCCACTCTGAAGTTAACGGCAAATAGCAACCAGCAACAACAATAACAAGAGCAACAAAAACAGCAGAATCAGCGGCAAAATTAAATTGCGATACGCATAATAGGAACAAAAATGGTAAGTTCACAGTTACTACAATGTGTTTATTTGTTTGTTTGTTGTGTATATTGCTTGTTGTGGATGGTCTTGATCATGACTTATGCATTTTCGGTGTTGATGTCGTCAAATAGCCGCATTTGACGGCCAAAATTCAATGGCCACTGACAGCAAACGCATCATCAGCAACGACGGCAGCGCAGTCGCTACTAGCAGCATCTACGGCAGCAGCAGCAGCTGAGTGTGTGTACGCTAGCCATCTCGCTCGCACTTGCTAACTGCGTGCACAACCACATGGTGGGGCTAAAAGAAAAGCAAAAACAAAAAATGAATAAAAAAAACGCAAATTTACCAAAGCAAAAACAAAAACATTTCAATGTGACAATGGCGAATTCGAGTATTGAAACGACAGAGGGTGTGAGCGAGAGAGCAACACAGTGAACAGTGCTACACGCGACACAATTAATTTGCATTGTTTGTTTACATCTGTTGCCATTTCTTCGTTCCATTTATTTGATCCGTTTATTTCCTTTACCCACAGCGTCGCGGCTTTAATTTCATTACACAATTTTTTATGGGTGAAAATCGTTAAGCGATTTTGTGCTAGGTTAGGGTTAAGGCCATGCGCCCGTTGCCATAGTAAACCGTCTAAGCTTGCTTTGATTTGCCTCAACCATTTTGTTTTTGTTCTCTGCTTCAACCACTCCACAATTTTGTTCAGAATGAGCTTTATTAGCTGTTTGGTTTTTTCTGTTTATTTATGAGGCCTTTAAGGTGTACAATATACAAAACTGGATCTACAGTGAACAATGGTTATAAATAATAAATATTATTCTTTAATAAACGTATTCATTTCCTCAGAATTAGCTTTAGATTTATTAATTTGCTGGCTCAATTGATTCGATTACAAAGAATATGACTTTTTTAGCAGACATAGTGATATGGATATACATATATGTAATAATAATAATAATATGTAATTGCAATAGTTATATTTTTTATAATCTATCAAGTTAAACTGTTATTGAAAATTATTTTGTATGAGGAATATATCCTCTAAAATAGTTTTCTTTTTAATTCAGCATTATTAAAAATATTTCTGTTATTATTTCTGCATTTCTGTTAAAGTTAACATTCCTTACATCACATAATATATAATAATATATTGTATAAGACTTAGTTTCGGCAGCGTTTTTCCAACTGAAAAAGATTGTTGAATACATTTTGCACAAATTATGTATATAATTCATTTATTTGATTTTTTTTTTTGTTTTTTAATAAATATTTCAGTTTAAAGAAAAGATCTAGGAAAACTTGCATAAGTTGGATATATTTAAATAAAAAATAAATAAAATAAAAATAATAATAATAACAAATTAAATTTTTTTATTCATATAATGTGTGTAAATATATGTACATATCAATAATATTATTTTATTTAAAAATTATATTTATATTTGTGAGCACTACTTCTTAATTTTTAGGCATTTATAATTGCTAACTGCTTATCAGGATTTTGTGTATTTTTTGATTTCCTGTTCCGTCTAAGGGAATGTTCACTGTATGTGCAGCAACAATTTGCTCAGGTCAGCGCAGTAAATGGGTGGAAAAGGTATTTCTTAGTAGGGATTGCTGCCAGCAGCAGCAGCAGCAGCAGCAGCAGGAACAACAGCAACATCAATCAGCAGCAATCAGCAGCAGCAGCAGCAGTTGATGCCACTCCCAACATATTTCCCCTACTTAGTGGCAGCTTATTTATCAGACATTCGTCCTTTGCTGTCATTCGCTGCAATTCAGTTTGCCCAGCGACGCATGCGTCAACGCAAAGGGGTAAATGCCGCCCACCCTTGTGCACCTGCCTGGAGTCATATTATATATACCTATGCATGGAGCTCTATATACATATATATAACGAGCGAGAAAGATAGATATATATTTGCAATATATATGGTTCAAACTGTTGATCGACAATGGAACTAAGCACAGTCCGAATTGCAGATAGACGATTGCTAAAAGTCTATTTAGGCCAAAGTGCACTGTGATGTGATTGCATATTTACTTGCAGCTGCGAGAAATACGTGGAATTCTATTTGCTTATTCTAACGTTTAGCAACTACTTGGGAAACAGATCTAATTCATAATAATATGAATGTATGTACAAATATTTTAATTAGTTCTAGTGGAATATAGGTGAGCTATAGAACGATATTTAAAATATGAAAATAAATATATGAAGAGTTGCATGAGAAGCATTGTCGAGCGATGTGGCATCCTCGTTACACAATCTCAACAAGATGGCCTCACTAATACAAGAAGGAGAGTTCCAGAAGCACATTGATAGGCTGGTGATTAAAGGTTGTTTAGGTAGTCGTAGTTATTTCAAGTTGTTTAAGTTGAAATCAATATTTGCATTGCTTATACTAAATAATTGCAATATATACATACATATATAAACATTTAATTAAATATTCATTCATTAATAACTCATCTTTTCTCACTTCATTTCGTACAGCCTGTTGACATCTGTTGTAGCGTGTGCACACTGTATGTTTTTTGCTCTTTATTCCTTTCCATTTCTCTTTTTTGTTTTTATTTTTATTTTCGTTTTTCGCAACCCTTAAGCTGCATTTTCTCTCCCTCACTCTCACTCTCGCTCCCTTCTCTCTCCTCTCTCTCTCTTTCTCTCGACCTCTCTCTCTTTCAATATGTGTATATTCATATATTTATATTATTTTTTTCTTTGTTATTTTCACCATTTTTGGCAAATTCAACAACGTGTTGATGTATTTCCTTTTCACATACACACACACACATACACACAGCGATTTGGGCTTTTGTATTCTTTTTCGCAAGGTCATTCGTTGTGATTTTATTTTGTGTGTCACAGGAGGCACAAGTAGAAAAAAAAAAAAAAAACAACAATAAAAATGTGTTGCATGCCCCAATATTTGTGGCATGGGTGGATGAACGTGCAACAGGATTAATTGAAATTATTTCCACATGCTTGTTAACTTGGCCAATTAAATGCACCTAATCTTGGTACTTAGCGAGGAGCATTGAAATTTAAATTTAAGAATAATATATTGTTAAAACAACATGAAAATATAATACATGAGAAAATATTAATCACATTTTTTATTTATGTAAAAAATATAATTTATTGATCGTTAATACTTCGTTCTAACTGCGACTCAGCTTCTGTAGCTATTTTTCTAGAGATCCCTCTCCTTCTCTCTCTCAAAACTCATCGAACTTCAGTTTAGCTTTTTATAGTTATCCAATAAGGATAGACTTGAGCAGTAATCAGTATAGCGATCTTTATCCTAACAATATTTATATATATAAATGCATATCTATCTCTATTTTCTCCTAAATCTATATATATATATATATATATCCTACTCTCTCTCTCTCTACTTCTATACCTATACCTATCTCTTTCTTTATCTCTGATCTTGCTATCTTTTTATATCTCTTCCGCCAACGATTTTCCCTCTCTCTCTAGCTATACCCATATTTCCTCTCCATCTCTCTGTCTCTCTCCCTCTCTGTCTCTCTCTGTTTCCCCCCTCTCTCTCTCTCTCTCTCTCTCAACGTCTATTCTATTGAGGATCTATTATATCTATAGGAACCTCCTCTTTTGTCTCTATCTCTTATAAGATATGGGAGATAGGGACTCCTTATATTACATGCATATGTAGATGTGTAGAATAGTTTGTCCCCTCAAAATCTTTATAGATTATAAATCTGTTCTAAGACTGATCCGCACGGAAAGTTATTCAAGTTGCAAATATATTGTTAAAGTCCGCTTGCAAACGGATTGTTAATCATTCGTCATCAAGCTACGTCTTCTCTATGACACGTTGCTCATATCGAGACCTTACTGTAGTTTACAATTAGTTTAGTGCGTGGTGAGTTTTTGGGTGGTGCAATGCCTGTACCTCTGCCTGTGCCTCTGCCAGTGCCTGGGCCTGGGTCTGGGTCTGTTTCTGTTTCAGCGATTTGCCTAGCTACCGAGTCATTGATTTATCTCTATGTATAGGAGCAGAGACAGCAGCAGAGGAAGAGGAAGGGCAAGAGCCAGCGGCTGGGGCAGAGGCCATGGCGGAGGCTTACAGTCAAGCTGGTTCGGCGCTTGGCTTCAGCTAGTCGTAAACCACTCGGCGGTGCTGTTTGCTGCTATCTTGCTCTAATTGCCCGCTCTGCATGCGTTGTGTCCTGTGTATCCTTTGCCTCCGTTCCACTCATTGTCGCCGCTACTGCTGCTGCTGCTGCTGTTGTTGCTGCCTCCTCGGGCTCCGTTTCGATCTGGGCCTGCGCCCCTCCATTCCAATGAGTAGGCCGCCGTTAGTTAACCAGGCAATCCTTTTGTTTCAGCCACTAACAATGGAGGCGGCGCAGAGAGGGGCGTGCGCCCATAGGGTGCTTGTCCTCTTGCTGGGGGTTGGCACGGCCACATTGCACATGCCACGTAGTTTTCAGTTCAGCTCGTTGCTCATAGTTCGTAGTGTTCGGTATCTCTGCATGCCAAACATTCTCCACTGCCTCGTTGCCAGTGCGCGCGGTTGTGTGTGTGTGTGTGTGTGTGTGTGTGTGTGTGTGTGTGTGTCCATGTGTGCGTGTGTAAGGGTTGGGGTAATATTTAACATTCAACCCTTTCTCGAGTTATGCGGCACACTGGGCGCTGATAAGTTAATTAATTTATAAATGAGAGCATGTATATGTATGTACATATATCGATAATTAATCGATACAAGTATTACAGCTGATATGTAGAGCTGTATAGCTATATTTTTAAACTGCTTTGAGTTTGTTTTAAATATAATCAAAAAATAGATATAAATTAATAATTAAACATTGATCGATAAATAAACATATTGAAACTAATCTAGAATTAATCAACCGAAATCAATTCATTACTTATTAATTATGTCTTAATTATATTAATATATTACTATCTTAAATTTATTAAAGTATCGTATTAGTCCTGTAAATCATATCTATTGTTTACGTGTGACATATCGATAATTATTTTATCGAAGTAACTCTTAAATGTGATAAATGCATTTACTTAATTTCAATATAATACAAAAGACTTTTGCGACAACTATAATAGAATATTTGTCTTAGACATGTGACTAAACAGTGTGTCAATCGATAATTGATTAATCGATTAATCGACTTTCTACATAGTTATGAACCTTGCTGAGATTTTCAATATATTTTGCACCACTGTGCACACTCTGTGCCCGTTTGGTGCGTTGTTATTCGAGTGGTGGTTTACCGTACGACCGCCCGCTCTCCCGTCCGACCGTCCGTCCGCTCCTGACCGTTTCAAAGTTGGGCCAACCACCCGAGCGCCCCCAGCGCGCAATGTGAAATATTCAAAAGGGGTGTTTGCTAGAGCCTCTGCCATAACCAGAAGAGAGAGAAGTGGAGTGGGAGCGGAACGGCTGTTGATTGGGGTTAGAGCGCTTTAAATGGAGAGTGGAGAGTGCTAGGTGGGCCGTGGGCCGTGGGTCGTGGGCCGTGGGCAAACGCAAAACGCCGAAAAACTGCAAGCGTGTGTTGCCTGATGGCCTGATGGAAATTCGGCTGGCTGGCTGGCCGGGGCAGAGAGAGACACACTGGAGCACGGCATGGCGTAGTTGCCTCCAACACGAGCGCAGGAACAGTCGCAAATTGCAGCCGTAGTCAAAGCCGTACCCGTTGCCGTAGCCCTATCCGTAGCCGTACCAGTGGAAATCAAGTGTGGCAAGTGTTAAGTGGCGTCACCTGCAACTGACCTCAGCTGCAGCCAAGCAACTGGGCAACTGAAGCCAGCAGCTCTGCTGCCTCACACGTTGCCAGACTACTCGAAATTCTGCCGCATTTTCGTTAGCTTTTTTTTTCGCTCCGTTTTTTTCTCGTGCTTTTGTGCCGTTTTTTCTAAACAACTGTGTAAAATAGCGCCATCTCGCTCACGCTTTAGCTGACTCTCTTTTGCATTTGACTCTCTGTGTGCGTGTGTATGTGTGTGAGTGTCTGGCATTCTGTGTCTGTGTGTGTGTGTGCTCAAAAGTGTGCTACATTTTTTTCTCTCTTTTTTCTCTTCAAAATTTTTTTTTTGTGGTGATTCCCCTTAAATTCGAGTGCGATTTCTTAAAGCCAGCTGTGTGAATATTTTTTCCGTTTGTTTTGCTATGCGTGTCGTTACACTGACAAAAATAAGAGAAAAAAGGAATGATGTATGGAATGAAAGTTGACTAAAGAAATTCTCAAACTAATGCTGGCTTGTTTAAATTGTGAGAAGCCATTCAAAATTTGTGGAATCTCCTATTTGAGAGATTCAATAATTTTTGTCTCTAGATATATGCATATTTTATAAGTATTATATATAGATACAGATATACATCATACATACAGATATACATTGTATATCTCTCATATGTATAATCTCTGTCCTCACTAAATTTATCTAATTTTAATATTTATAACTTTTTTTCAGTTTTTTTTCATTTACCCTTCAAAAAATTTTCAATTTTTTTAATAATTTTTTTTTTTACTTTGCAGACATCGAAAAAGCGAAAAAGTTTTTTGGACGCCGATGATAACGACGATTTCGATGACGATGATTCCGGCTCTGATTTCGATGACGATGAAGATCCAGATCAAATAGAAGTGCCCGGTAAGTTCCTGCAAAGTTTCTAAAACTTGGAATTCGATTTGCGTGTTAAAAGTTTCGGGTTCAGGACCTCTAGACAAGCTGTCGCTTAAAGTTAGAGCCGGCCCTGCCTCGACCCGCACACAAACTTTACCCTTGCCGTTGGTGCGAAAAGGGTCGACACGGCAACAGAAATAGTTTTTGTTAGACGATGGGCTCGAATAGCATCTAATTCACCTGTGTTATATGTTATGTGGAGGTGTGTATGGGTGTGTGTGTGTCTATCGGTGTGTCTGCACACATAAGCCTAATAACTTTTTAAGCTTTAGACAGCAGAACCTTGGTAGAGTTCTCAAATCGTTGATTTATCAGACTAATTTCGCATATCCAATTCACTTCAGAAAAATCTTTATATTGCAATCATGAGATATATTGATATAATTTTAATTGCTCAAGCAGTACGTTTTTGAAGAGAAAGAAAAAGGGAGAAGGGAAAGAGAGAGAGAGAGAGAGAGAAAGAGAGAGAAACCTATAAATCTCAAGCAGTTTATAGTTATTATACATTGAAAGGAAAAATTCTTAAAACAATGTATAATATAATATAATAGAAACAGTTCTTAAAATAATGTATATAATCTATCTTTAAAATCCAACGACAATCGATTGCTCGATTATTCGATTACCATTGCTATTGCCTTTGTACTGGGCAGTAGTTATTCAAAATAGTTATCACAGCATTTATCATTTAGCAATAGCTCAGAAACTTTTATTTCTACGTGTCTAGTAATATGCCTTATATTCGCATTGGATGAGTTTGATAATCTAATTATCGATTGGAAAACACACTTACATTGAAATTCAGATCTGTGATGTTTGCTAATTTTGAGTACTTTTGTATCGAAAATTAGGTTTTCTTTAAAAGTTTTAAGTAATTTGTCATTGCTAATTGGATTCCATCGGTTGGGCATTGGCTTTAACTTAGTAATCAATAGTAATTAATAAACAATTACCGTGTGCAGCTGCAAGACGAATCGAATTGCAGGCAATCGAGTTGGCAAAAGGAAATAGTTAATTGTATAATCAGCGTGCATTCGATATGGTTTATATGTGATGTGCGATATGTGATATGTGATATATGATGTGCAGTTCACTTACTCTCTCACTCCCTCTCTCGCTCTCACTTTATATATCTCTCTACATACATATATATAGATATCTCCGTCTCTATGTATTCACATCTATATACGTTTGCTGTCCATATATGCCATTAATTATGTCTATATATGCAGATGCGAATCGCCCTGCTTTAGCAGCACTGTACACGTGTATATATACACATGTATATATTTTATAGATTGATGAGTGCATCTGTGTAAATCCAATTGTTGTCTTCGACTGTTTGTTTCCATATTGCATTGGGTATACGTTGTATACATATCAAGTCTCAATGCAGAGCCTCCCACGCAAGGGCTTAATTAACTATCTATTATAGATGAGCTGCAAAGCCTATATGTATATGTATTATTATATACTTATATATCTATATATGTTTATGCCTGTTCAGCTGCCAATTAAGACGCATAATCCCGTCATTCGGGTCTCAATCTTTGACCTGTCAATAAAATATGAATACAGACTAATACAAAACTATTTCGATTGATATACCTGCTTATGCATAGACAGTCAGAGATACAACTGTGCAATTGTACAATAGAATAAGATTTTACTGTACTCTCCCGGTAGCGAGGATTCTAGAACTTTACACTAGTCGAAATAAAATCTGGCATATAAAGAAAAGCTAATATCAATTTGAATATAAATATTGATTAAAAGTTATCGAATGATAATGTCAACAAACAATTTGTATAATCGACTCTCGATTAAGTTATCGTAATTCAAAATTATTTTCATAATCACTAAGGCACATACATTTTGTAGGTCCATCAGTTCCATAAAAAGTAAACTATTTAATTAAAATTTCACAAAAGTCGTTTGATTTTTGCATCTGTGATAAGATCAGATAAAGAAAAGTTGAGAAAATTGCCAAATTTGGCATTTCATTCCCAAATAGGTTAGGTTTCGCAACTCTTACTCAATTTTCAATTTCAATGTCAATTAAATATGAGAGTGGAAAGAGTGGAGGAGCGCTTCAAGACAGACTGTCTTGAGTGGGGGGGCGTATACTTAATGCAGCCCCTGTTGGCAGGTAAATGCAGGAGACGGAGACACATGCACCCATCCTACTTCCTTTCTCTCTCACTCTCTCTCTCTCTCGCTCACTCTACATATGTGCATAGGCAGTCGTAAATGTCTACAAGTATTTGCTAATTATATACTCATTATACATATCTATAATATGTGTGCGTCTGTGTGTGCGTGGACATCATAAAGTGGGCGGGCACTGCCCTATACATAACACTAAGCAAGATGCGATGGTCGCAAGAGAGATGGGACACTACTTCTTCATTAGGGGGCTGAAAGATGCTTGAGATGGTTGGGGCCTTGGTGCACCTAATGCAATGCAAATAAATCGATTCAAAATATTTATGTATAAACTCATTAGCATATACATATATGTATATATGTATGTTTGGGTCTAGTACATAAGAATTTCTTAAAGTTACGAAAGTAAAAGTTGTGGCGGACTAAAAAGTGGAAGAAATAATGCAATTGTATAGTTTAAAGAGAAGCATTTTCAGCTAAGCATATCGAGAATAGGAAAAGAACGTGTTTAGGATAAAAAAAAAACATATATTTTTAATACAAAACTTCCAGAGTTTTTGCAGTGTGACAAATCGGTCGAGCTTAATTGAAAGAATAGTATAGATAGCCTTTTCTGTATTTTCCATTTTCTGCGCTTCTCAAGAAATATATGTAGGACAGAGCATACTTCTAGGCGTCAGTTCGAGTTGCTTATAATCAGAAATAACTTCTCCCTTTTCTCGTCTTACTCTACTTCTTTCGCTACCACGCCTACCTGATAATTCCGAAAGGCAGGTCACAGTTTGACAATCTCAGTTAACGTTTTGAGGGAATCCATTTAGTTGTTGACTAGATTGCAGACAAATCAAATATGAGATTGCACTTGATGATTCGTTTATTAACTGTTTTGTTGTTGTTGTTTTGTTTTCTTTCAGGCGGTGGTCGTGATTTAAATACTGCAGTTACCTACGCTCAAAACATTCGCAGCTCAGTTGGCATCAACGTTGCCAACAAACAGGCGAACAGCGGGCAAGGCGGCAGCCTGAGCGGCAACAACAGCAACATAAGCGAAGCTTTTCTCAAGCTGGGCAACAGCAGCAACAACATTATTACTAACAACAACAACAGCACTAACAACAAAAATAACAATAACAGTAGTATCAGCAACAACAACAACAACGTCATCAAAGTGAACAGCATTAGCAAGCCAAATTCCTTGCTGTTGAGCAACAATATCAACAGCAGCAACATCATCAACATCAGCAACAACACCAGCAACAGCAATAGCAACAACAACAGCAGCAATAACATTACCGTGCTGCGGCCAACGATTGTGACGCATACAGCAAAGCCAACAATTGTGGGCGGCAAATTTACGGCGCTGCCAACGACGATAACAACAAAAGTCGCCCTAGCGGACAAGAGCCCAAACAACATGCCAAAGAAATTGACGGCGGGTAAGTGTGACCAGATACGTGTACTCAACAAATACATATCCCACACCCAGGCGCTCACACAATTGCATACACACAGGCACACACACACATACATACATACATACATACACAAACGCGCGCAATACGCGAGGTAATTTTCGCAAGCTCAACTTGAAATTAATGCTGCTGTCTTCTTTCTCTTTCTCTCTCTCTCTCCCATACGCTCTCTTTTCCTCATTTCGCTGCTCCACTTCAAACGGTTTCATGATCTCGTTTGCTCGCTCGCTCGCTCTTTCGTTCGCTCTTTGGTTTGATTTGATTTGATTTTTGGTTATTTTTGATTTGATTTTCGTTCATGTTTTGGTTGTTGCTGTTGTCGTTGTTGTTGCTTTGTTTCGTTTTGTTTCCTTTCGTTTTGCTTTGGTTGGTTCAGCAGGAGCAGCATCTGCCAGCGGCGCCAATAGCACAAGGATTGGCCCAAGTGGCGCCGGCAGTGGCAGCGGCACCGGCAGCAGCAGCGGCAGCGCTGCCGGCCTAAGTGCAGCCAGCGCCTATTTGAACAGCGGCGCCGGCAACTATTTGAACAGCCTCAGCACCAACGATCTGATGAGCCTGGCCGCCTATGTCGCCTCCAAAGGATCTTCAGTGAATAGCAACAACAACCTGATCAGCAACAACAACATGAACAACAATAACGGCAGCAATAGCTTCTTTGCCAACAGCGGCGGCGCCTCAACTTCAGCCGCCTCTGCTGCCAATTTCAATATGGCCGCGTCTTTATTGGCGCAGAGTAAGTCTTGTAATGTTGGTAACAACCAAGAAAAACAAAAACAAATAATCCTAATCATAATGTGTATGTGTGTGTGTGTGTTTACATTAACAAATTGTTGCTTTTGCCTGTGACTTGAGAAAAGTGGCAACGCTCGTAAGTGCAACCGTTTCGTATCCTTAATGAACACTGTTAATAACAGTGGCGCGCTCTGTTATTGGCATTTTGATCTTTCTATTTGTATTGGCAGCGGCTGGCAGCCCTTATGTCGATTCACACTGCTGTGCCATTATGGGCACTGTTAATAACAGTGGCGCGCACTGCTAGGCATTCAAATGTCATGAAACATGATGCTCGCCTTACCTTGTCGATGATCGAGTAGGCTCTGTATTTGAGTTTGATTTGGTTTTTGCTGAGTAGGCTTTGGAATCGAGGCTTTGTTGTGGCTGAGATCTGAACACTTTTCTCCTCAGTTTGAAACTGAATTTACAACTCATTACAAGGCGAGCATTTTTCCAAATTTGATGTTGATTTTTTTTTCGTGAAAAAAATAAATATTTTTGTTTTATTTAATTTTACTAAAACCATTCGAATGTCAACCATGGAGAAAATCAGTTCGCAAGAATTACCCACTCCGATGATCTCGAGTAGCAGCGTTAAGGCAAGGCATTCTGACTCGTCACGTTTATTTCGTGAGTTCCTCAAGGCAAGGGCCTTATCAATGACAACCAATGATTACGTCAAGCAGCAAGTGGACCGTCAGGTTAAGGAGCTGTTCAAAAACGCAATGGACCGCTTCTATTACCTGCATGGCCGCTCTTTGAACAGACTAGAGAAATTATTGGTGGAGGATCTGGTGCCACGGCTGGACAGTTCGCGTGCCGATCATGACCATTTTGTGAGGCATATGAAGCGACTCCTGAAGAAGGTGCGTCCCATGATGACGAACTTCAAGGCCTATCTGGAAGAACGTCCCAGCTTTTGCGCGAATCTGCCCGATGAGCTGGAATTGCGTTGCAAGCGCTTCCGGAAGGAGCAAGACAAACGTTTCTCTCGCTCATCTATCATGTCATTCGACTCCTCTTTGCGCCCCTCGCTGTTAAATTGCAAGAAGGCCCAGCCAGTTTTGGAGGATCCGGCATCGCAAAGCGTCGCAGAGCCCCAACCCACCCCCCCGTTAACAGTGAATAAGTCAGAGGCGCATCTGCAACCAAAGGTCGACATTACCCAGCCAGCTCCGGCCCCAGCTAAGAAAAACGTCGAAACGATCTATCAAAATTTTAGCTTCGTCTCGTCGCCCAAGAGCAAAGTCAAGGGTCCACCACTTTTCAACATGAGTAAAGCGATGGAAAAGCACTTTGGTCCCATGCCAAAGGTAAAAAAGCGTTCACCGGAGTCGGCTCATAAACTGAGAGAGATCAATCGACGATTGCTCCAAACGAACCTCTTGTACAAAAAGTCCTCTTATTCACTGTACCTGAATCGTTTCAAATTCCCGCCACCCTGGCCCTTGCCCCAGCCGACCCTCTCCAAAGTGGCGATGCTCGCAAGGTCTCCGCTATATTGGAAGTACCACTGACGATCATTCTACGGCGGAGTGTCACTAACTGAAAAAATTGTGTTGTCCTCATAAGTTTTTATTTAGTTTCGTTTTTATGTTAAATCTCTTTTAAAAACTTTCGCATGAAGTCTACATACAAAATAAAATAAGTAAGAAGGCTCCAGTCGAGACTGCTCGACTGGGGGATACCCTTGACCCTCTAAGCTGATATTCTACTCATTCTGCACTTTTATGCACACATGCATACACGCGCGTCCACACGTACGTATAAACACGCGCTCTGCTGACTGCGCAGTAAGCAGCGACTGCGCTCGGGCTGCGCTGCAGTGTGGGCAATAGCATGAGAATTTATTTGTTGAATAATTTCTCTTGTAGATGGACTATCTTTATGAAACTTTCAGTGCGTGATCATATGATTAGAATGTGTGTGCATTCCAAAGCACAAGTCTCTTGAAATACGTTTTTACAAATTGCTGGCGAATGGGGCGTGGTATCCAAAATCTGTAAATTACAAAATATTCGTATCCATCAACTTTATATACACAGTAAATCTGAAGTCTTCAGGTATAAAAGTGTTCAAATTTGGCTGAAAAAACGAAATCAAGTTTTCGATTATTTTCGATAAAAAAAGTTATCGGATGAGTTATCGAAAAAAAATATATGATAATCATGTACTGCGTTGGTACACACGAGCATGCATGCCCAATTTCAGCTCTCTAGCTCTTATAACGTCTGAGATCGACGCACTCATATGGACGGACGGACAGCCGCTACATCGACTCAGCTCATCGTCCTGATCATCGATGATTCCTTCTGCCTGTTACATACTGTTCACAAAACCAATATACACAGATTTCCCATTTTCAATGGGTTCAAGGTATAAAAATATTCTCAATTATGTTTGTTCATGTTCCTCTCTCGCTGCTGTCTGATTTTCTCTCTCATCCATTGTTGCAAAAAGTTAAAAGTCTAGGGACGTCAAATCGGGGTAATACTGTTACTTGGCTCGATACAGGCTACAATTGAGGATGACTCATAGGTTCGCATTGATTTTTACCAAGTAGGCCTGGAATCGAGCATAAAACGAAAATTAGATTTTTTTTTTGCTGAGTAGGCTTTGGAATCGAGACTGTGTTGTGGTTGGGAGCTGGAACTATTTCTCTTCACTTTCAAATTGAATATAGAGCTCAACACATGTCGAGCATTTTTCCAAAATTTGTGTGTTTTTTTTTTTTCGGAAAATCAGAAAAAATAAAATTCTCCTTTTGTATTTTGTTGTAATAGAAACTTTCGAATGCCGTGAATTAGTTCGCAATATTTATACATTCCGTTGATTCTAAGATGGTTCTTGACTAGGGCAATTTCTCAACATTCGTCACCCTCGCTTAGTGGGTGCACCAAGGCAAGGGACGATGACATCAAGCGAACATCCTGCTCAACAAGTCGTCGTCTACACAACATCCTGGCCCTGGTCCAAGCTGTGCTGATACGTATTCGCAGGAAGTCCAAGTGAAGATCATGGCAAAATGCCATTAAGTGTCATACACATGTGTTTGTTTCTTTGTTTCTTTCGTTCTTTGTTCTGTTGACTATTGAATCGGACTACAACTTTTGATGTGATGCACATAGAGATAATATAGACAGGCCTCAAAGTTTTGCTTAAAATGTTGTTGTTTCTCTTTCGTCCCCTGTTGAGTCCCATCAAGTCAAGGGGCGTGGGGTTTGGGGAATGCGCTGGAGAGCATCTTTAATTTGAATTCAAGTTGATTGATTCTCTCAATATTTCCTATACTTTTTGAACGGATCTCGTATACCTAAGAGAGAATCCTTGAAATACTTTCACTCATTGCAAGCATTAAATATGTATATGTATATGTAAATATATAGCTTATTCTGACTAACAAATCCATTGATTAGTTTACTTTTAAAATGCAATTTGTTTGCTCTACTAAAATCACATGAAATACATTCGCTCTCTCTCTCTCTCTCTCTCTATTCATATCATACACTGTTTCTTCTTGCCTCTCTGTTCCTCTCCTTCGTCATATCGGACATTGTTTGTCCTTCTCTTTCTGTCTGCCCATATCCATCTCTCACTCTCTTTCCCTTTGGTCTATCTCCTTCTCTCTCCAACTGTCTCTCCCTCTCTGTCTTTCACACGCACTCGAATTGCAACCACATCAATCAATCACATCAACATCCGAAACGATCGACATAAAAACAAACCCGATTCCCCACACTTGTCTTGCAGTGAGCTATGCGGGCGGTGCCACGCCCATGCGTACGCCGTTCAAGCCGCAGCCGGTGGGCATGGCAGCAGGTGTTGCTGCCAGCGCCACACTGAAGAGCAGCAGCGCCGTTGGCGGTGCCACGCCCCAGGTGGCGGCCACCGCTGGCGCAGCGGGCGGCGGGATGAAGGTGAACACCATGATGCTGGAGAAGCTGCAGAAGCTGATCTCGCTGAATCCGGAGTACTTGACCAGCGGCATACCCAATCATGTGATGACGCAGCTGTTCATGCAGCCGATGCGAATGCCGTCGCAGCAGCAGCAACAGCAGCAGCAGCAGCAGCAGCTGCAGCAACAGCAACTGCAACAGTTGCAGCTGCAGAATGCGGCTGTGGCGAATGCCAATGCGGCGACGGCGGCTGTCTACGTGCAGCAGGAGGAGGATGAGGTCGACTATGAGGAGATGGGCGTGGCCGAGACATACGCCGACTATTGGCCAGCCAAACGTGAGTATCCGAGCTCTGCCACTGCTGCACAGTCGACGAACGATGCCTGACGTGAAATATCTTTCTGCTCTCACAGTGAAGCTGGGCAAGAAGCATCCGGATCCGGTCGTGGAGACCGCCTCGCTCAGCTCCGTGGAGCCGTGCGATGTCTACTACAAGCTGTCCATACCCGCCGAAACCATCAACAGCGGCCAGCTGAGCGCCCTGCAGCTGGAGTCCATCACGTACGCATCGCAGGCGCATGACCATCTCCTGCCCGACAACAGTCGGGCGGGCTTCCTAATTGGCGATGGCGCCGGCGTGGGCAAGGGTCGCACCATCGCCGGCATCATCTACGAGAACTATCTGAAGGGGCGCAAGAAGGCGCTCTGGATATCCGTCTCCAATGATCTCAAATACGATGCGGAACGCGATCTCAGCGACATTGGGGCCACGCGCATCGAGGTCCATGCGCTCAATAAGGTGCTAGACAGTCACAAATATACCTAACTACCTAGACTAGATGATTAAGTAATTGAGTAATTAACCACTTAATTACGGAGCTTGATTAGTGGAAACTATCAAAGAGTTTATTTCATATAGATCTAATGCTCTCTAGGAGCTGAAAGGAATGGCTAAATACAATTGCTGTAGTAATTGGGATCAATTGATCTAATTACTTGAGTAATTGAGATAAAGAAGTTGATTCAGTGAAGTCATTGTAAAGGAATGGGTATATGTAGAAGCCTTAAGAGCTATAGGAAGGTTCTATGTAAACACAATTACTGAAGTAATTAAGCTTAGATGATTGCGTTACTTGAGTAATTGTGATGAAGAAGTAGAAGTAACTGTTAATTATTGCAGAACAAGGCCATAAGAGCCCAAAGAATGAGTATAGCCTTAGAAATCTTTCTATATGCATATGTAATTACTAACGTAATTAACTTTGCTTTAACGCATTACAAAAGTAATTTCTTGGTAATTACTTAAGCTATTCTTTTTCACAAATGAGAAGACATTCAGGGAAGCCATTATTAATGAGATTGATAGATAAACGTAGAATTATTTGCCACACTCTTCGAGATATGTGAACTAATCCAATTGAATGAACTCTTTGCTTGAACAGTTTAAGTACGCCAAGATCAGCTCCGATGCGAATAACAACTGCAAACGCGGCGTCATCTTTAGCACTTACTCGGCGCTGATTGGTGAGTCGAACAACAAGACGGGCAAATACCGTTCGCGCTTCCGCCAGCTGCTGCAGTGGTGCGGCGAGGACTTCGAGGGTCTCATCATCTTCGACGAGTGCCACAAGGCGAAAAACCTGTGTCCCGTCGGCTCGGGCAAACCCACCAAGACGGGCCAAACGGTGCTCGAGCTGCAGCAGAAGCTGCCCAAGGCACGAGTCGTTTATGCGTCGGCCACAGGCGCCTCCGAGCCAAAGAACATGGCCTATATGGTGCGGCTCGGCCTGTGGGGCCAGGGCACGGCCTTTGCCACATTCGGGGACTTCATTACGGCCGTGGAGCGACGGTGAGTTCAAGTCAAAATGAAATGGAATTCTTCTAGCCTCAAGTCTAATCCGATCTCCCCTCATCTATAAATTGACTCGTGCAGAGGCGTCGGTGCCATGGAAATCGTCGCCATGGACATGAAGCTGCGCGGGATGTACATAGCGCGCCAGCTGAGCTTCAAGGGCGTCAGCTTTAAGATCGAGGAGGTGCCGCTCTCCAAGGAGTTTCGCAAGATCTACGATCAGAGCGTCGAGCTCTGGGTGGAGGCGATGCAAAAGTTCACGGAAGCCGCCGAGCTGATCGACGCCGAGAGCCGCATGAAGAAAACAATGTGGGGACAGTTCTGGTCGTCGCATCAGCGCTTCTTCAAGTACCTCTGCATTGCGGCCAAGGTCAATCATGCGGTGCTCATCGCCCGCGAATCCATCAAATACGGCAAGTGCGTCGTCATCGGCCTCCAGTCCACGGGCGAGGCGCGAACTCTCGATCAGCTGGAACGCGATGATGGCGAACTAACCGATTTTGTGTCCACAGCCAAGTGAGTTTCTGTGCGGATTGAATTCCATTTAATGGCGAACTCGAATGGTAGCCATGGCGGCTGGCATAGAGCAGCTGAGAATTTTAACAGATCAACTCTTTCGATAATTATAAAGAGAGAAAAGTTTCTCTCTCTCTCTCTCTCTCTCTCTATGAGCTGTAACAATTCGAAAGAGTAGCTAATATATAACAATAAGGAGCTTAACTACAGCTTCAATATATATATATATGTAACATGTTGAGTGAGGAGCTTAAACAAACACAAAGCAAAGCTTTCATGAACTTTGACAGAGCTAAAACACGAAACTCAACTCCCTTTTGACAATAGTTAACAGAAGATTCCATGGGTTGTAAAAAAAATACATATTTAGTGAAATTTTTACCCATGAGCTTTCGTTTGTCTGAAAATCTTTTGGGCCAAGAGAAAGGAGCTAAAATGAATTTGAACAATAACAAATTGAAGTTGCTTTGAGCTTGAGCAATGAAAACGAGAAACTTCCATGAACATAGAAGCTGCAATAAATATGCTTCTTTGATCTGTGATCCGAAAAGCTTTACTTTGCTTTAAAACTGTAAGGAACTTCGTCAGAGAAGCTTTTATAGTGACACAACATGAAATGCGGTTTAACTATATCAAAAATGCTTTCATGAGCTTTAACAGGGATAAACAAATTTAGTCAGATAAGCTTTTATAGTGGCAAAAATATTAAGTGGAACTTACCTATAGTACAAAAGCTTTCATGAGCTTTAACAGGTATAAACTAAACTTGGAGTTTATATAGTAGCATAACATTAAACAAGGCTTAACTATAGAAAAAGCTTTCATGAGCTTTAACAGGAATAAACAAAACGTTAAATTAGTTTTAATGTAGTCAAAGAGAAGTTTAAAAGCTTGCATAAACGTTAATTTAGTTTACTGAGGAGCTTCTTCTACAAAGAGAAGCTTCAATAAATAGAGAAAGAAGAAGAAGCTTTCCCAGTCTCAAGCCAATTCAGCTGAATATTTTTCATACCATTTATGTGCCCTTATGGCAATTGAATAAATCTGTTTCCCTTGCTTTGCAGAGGCGTCTTCCAGTCGTTTGTTGAGCGTCATTTTCCAGCGCCCGATCGCAATCGGATCAATCGCATTTTGGGCCTGTACGACGAGGTGCCGGCCGTCAAGCAGGAGCCGAGCCAGACGCTCAACAACAACAACAACAAGAGCAGCAGCACCACCGGCGGCAGCAGCAGCAATCGGAGCAAGCGCAAGGGCGCCAACTCGACGGCGAGCAGTCGCAAGTCGAAGAAGAAGAAGCGCAGCGGCTCGTGGCAGTTCAGCGACAGCGACGAGGAGGCGGCGCACACGTCCAGCGGGGATTTGGATAACAACAGCGACGAGGCGCCGGACAGCGATGATGCGTTCAATGATGAGGACGAGGACGATGACGACGATGAGAACCGGAACGAGGATGACGACGACGACGACGACGATGAGGACGAGGACGAGGACAAGCATGACAATGACAGCGACAGGCACAGCGTGGCGAGCGACTGCAGCTCCGACTTCAATCCGTTCTTTCTCAGCGGCAGCGACAGCGACATGGATCCCTGGGTGAATGCGCGCAGCAAGAAGACCAGCGGCAAGAAGACCCAGAAGAAGGCCAAGAAGAAGAAGGGCAAGGAGACGAAGCCCATCAAGAAGGAGCCCAACACGAGCAGCAACCACAACAACAACAACAACAACAACAATGCAGCCATGTCGGCAACGGTGGCAGCCGCCCTGAACGCGGCCAAGAGCCGAAAGCCTCCGCAACTGTCCACGCAGGACAAGATCCAGGATTTGCTGCAGAAGAAGCAGGAGCTGAAGGGCACGATGACACCGGTGGGCGTGAATGGCGTGAAGCTGAACTATGGCCCGCCGCCCAAGGATGCCATCGAGCGGGCGTGCACCATGAAGGAGGAGCTGCTGCGCAAGATCGAAAAGCTCGGCGCTCGCCTGCCGCCGAACACGCTGGACCAGCTGATCGACGAGCTGGGCGGGCCGGATAATGTGGCCGAGATGACGGGCCGACGGGGTCGGGTCGTCCAGAGCGATGACGGCTCCATTCAGTATGAGTCGCGCACCGAATCGGATGTGCCACTCGAGACGCTCAACATAACGGAGAAGCAACGCTTCATGGATGGCCAGAAGGATGTGGCCATCATCTCGGAGGCCGCCTCCAGTGGCATTTCGCTGCAGAGCGATCGGCGCGTCTTCAACCAGCGACGGCGCGTTCACATCACGTTGGAGCTGCCGTGGTCCGCGGACCGGGCGATCCAACAGTTTGGCCGCACCCATCGTTCCAACCAGGTGAATGCGCCTGAGTACATATTCCTCATCTCGGACCTGGCGGGCGAGCGCCGTTTCGCCTCGACGGTGGCCAAGCGGCTCGAATCGCTGGGCGCTCTAACGCACGGCGATCGGCGCGCCACCGAGACGCGCGATCTCTCCCAGTTCAACATTGACAACAAGTACGGCCGGCAGGCTCTGGAGACGGTCATGCGCACCATAATGGGCTATGAGACGCCGCTGGTGCCGCCGCCCACCGACTACAATGGCGAGTTCTTCAAGGACATTGCCGGCGCCCTGGTCGGCGTGGGCATCATAGTCAACAGCGAGAGCCACCCGGGCGTGCTCAGCCTGGACAAGGACTACAACAACATATCCAAGTTTCTCAATCGCATCCTCGGCTGTCCGGTGGACCTGCAGAATCGCCTCTTCAAGTACTTCACGGACACCATGGCGGCCATCATCAACCAGGCCAAGCGTGGCGGTCGCTTCGATCTGGGCATTGTTGGTGAGTGTGGGACAGCGACTTCTCAGTCTCAGAGTAAAACGAAGAAGAAGAAACGAAGAGAAGGAGAAGCAACTTAATGAAATGAGAATGAGAGAGGAAATAAATGTGGAAGTCAGGAGCAATGTGTTAAGAAAGAAGCAAAGAGAAGCAAATGCATAAGCAGGTATAGGAGAAAAAGAAAAAGAGAATTGAAAGAAAAGACTACCGGAAGAGTGATAGGAAAGCAGATGGAAAAGGCAATCATAAAACTTGATAAGTATTAAAGTAGAAAGATAATACATTAAAAGAAAAGAGAAGGCAGAGGAAAGAGAAGAAGAGCAACAGAACAACGAAAGAAAACAACTTGTTTCTCAAGAAGAATTGGCTTGGAAATAATTCTTTTTGCGAATAGTTTCTCCATAGTGTCTATAACAGTTAGCTATTTGAAATCAGATGAGGGAATATACCTAGGCTATTACTAGGCCATATCTGACTTGAAATCCCCGTTTATTTTCAGACTTGGGCGCTGCCGGCGAGAACGTGACCCGCGTGCGTCTGATCCGCTTCATGCGCAAACATGCCACAGGCGTGGCGCCCACAGAGCTCCACACGGTGCGCGTGGAGCGCGGCATGATTTGGCAGGAAGCCATTGACAAGTGAGTGTTGAACAGCGAATGTGTATAGGTAGATATGACAGATGATGAGCATCGGTTTGATCTAATCTCTGGCAGATATGCGGATCTGTTCAACGAGCACGAGGGCTTCTACACGTCGCATCAGTTGCGCAATCACAAGCGCACGGCTATCCTGGTGGTTGTCATCGAGCAGCAGCCGGCGGCTCGCAACTCCGGGGAGGCGGACAGCAGCAGCAGCAGCAGCAAGGCGCAGAAGAAGAAGACACGCAGCAAGAAGGAGATCATGTGCCAGATCTACCGGCCCAACACGGGTCTGCAGGTGCGCCACGAATCGCTCTTTGAGCTGGAGAAGAAGTATCGCAAGGTCAGCAGTGAGGAGGCCGAGCCGCATTGGACCGAGCAATACGATGCCTCGGTGCACACCTGCTCCCACGCCTATTGGAATGGCAATTGCCGCAACGTCAGTCTGGGCAACGACTGTGAGGTAAGGCCGGATTAGCTATGGATTCGCTCTGATGAACTCCTAATCCCTTTGATATCCATTCGCAGGTGGGTCTTCGACAGCGCCTCTATCATGTGTTGGCCGGCTCGGTGCTGTCCGTCTGGGGACGGGTCGAGCACATACTGAACACGCGCTCCAATAGCAAAATGCAGGTGATACGCATGAAGACGACGGAGGGACAGAAAATAGTCGGCACTATGATACCAAAGTCATGCTTTGAGCCGCTCATGAATGATTTGCGCAGCGACTCGGAGAAGCAGGAGGAGTTCAACTATTAGAATACATTTCAATTCTTCACTTTCACTCCATCCACCCAAGTGTAAAACCCTAATCTAATCCACGACGCGATCCGTTTCGGACTCGCCGGGCTCTTTCAAACATTTATAAGCCAAATCAAGAAACATGAAGATGAAGAAAAAAACAAAGAATATTTAGAAGGATTTAGGAGAGCTAATTGACTTCTACCTCTGATTTGACCTTATTCATCTTCTTTTTTTACAATTTACTTTCCTTATTTCTGTGTAATTAATTTTAAAATATCGCTTCCGTACATAACTCAAAATGTATTTCAAGTAGAGTGTTGAGAGTCAACAATTTTAATTAATTTGAAATTTTTCTCTTTAATTTTTATTTTTTATTTATCACTCGCACAGAACAGCAAAAAAAAAAAAAAAAAAAAAAAAAAAAGATATAGTGAAAAAACAAATGAAAACGCTTATTTTATGGACTTTTCTTAATGATTTAACGATTAATTAATTTAATTTAGTTTAACATATATATGCTAGTACACACATACAGACACATGCACACACACACGCAGACACTGAAATACCACCAAGCAAATGTTAACTATTTATTGTGCATATGTTTTAGTTACACTCACATATACTTATATATACATATGTATATATATGATATGATTTCAGACCTTGTTTCAATTTTTTTTTGCTTATTTTTATATATATTTAAAAATTTTTTAATCATTTTATTCTTTATTGAGAAGGCTGCAGCGCAGCGCGCAATTTGCAAATTGAAATGGAACATAATGCAAAAGAAAAGCTAACAGAAAATTCTAAAAATCTTAAATCTAAACCTATTATAAACGAGAAACAAAAGAGAAAAGAAACACACTTAATTATTAATACAACCAAGTTAAGGCATTTTTTTTCACGTCAATATATTTTTAAGTTGACACTGAAAAGTCAAACCGCTGTTTGTAATTAAGGTCCTCTAACTGTAATAATTAAATTAAGTTTAGCCATTAAAGGTGTTAATATACATGATATACATATTCATATACAGATACAGATATATAACAAATACAAATGAAGTACATGCACGCATCTACACATACATATGTACATGCAACATAATAAACGTGGAATTGTGGCATATATAAAACAAAGCAAGAAAATTACACAAAATATTGGAATTCTTTTATTTTATTTATGGGAAATGGGAAATATTAAATGTATAGATTATCTCAATCAATCAATTCAAAGGGAAATTCCAGTCCCACCAACGATATTTAATCAAGTTGTATAACGTCGATTTTAACTGCTGTCATATGTATCGATTAATCGATAATGCGTATCCTTTTAATGTTCTGCCATCCGTGCAGTCAACAAAATCTAGTGATGTGACCTGCGCTAGTGAAGAGGTGCGCGCGCACATTTGTTGAATTTGAAAATTGAAAAGCGTTCGGTGTGTTTTAGTAAAGTTGCGAAAGCGTTGTTTAATTTTGTATTTTCATTCATATTACAAATGGACTCTTCAAGAGTTGAATTACATACATAGTTTGCAATTCAATCATTTCGCTATGCCCCATTTCTCGTATCTCATTTCATTTCATTTCATTTGTTGTTGTCATTCTTACTCTTCGCACTTAAATACAATTAGTTTTAGTTACAAGTTAGATAGAAAGAGAGATAGAGAGTTTGAAAGAGAGATGGGCAAGTAGATAAATAACATAAGAAGCGAAAAATATATGCTCGTTTATATATATAGTACTCGTAAATATGTACGTATAGATTTGTAGCGCTATATATATATAGTCTTCTGTATAGTTGTCACATATATATAAAAATGATTTCTTTTTGGTTTCTTTCGTTTTTTGACATTTACAACATAGAGTATATATTCAAGAGGCAACTATAATACATGTAAGTACAATTAGAGATATAGCAATGAGATATGGCTACATAGATCTCTAGCTCTTTAGCTCTTTTTGTTTAAATACGCATATCTGTGTATATATGTATGTATATAGATTATGGTTTGATATAGTACGGCTATATGTATTTGAATATAGGGTCCTTCATAAGCTGCGCGTAAACGAACGTTTAAAGCTAAGTTTTGAACGGAGGCTAAGAAGCGACGGCGACGGCGACGATGACGACGATTAGTGCAAAAGTGTATTGAGAATTGTAAGGTTTGTGTTTCTCTTAGGTACGCACACTGGTACAAAATGTATGCTAGTTTAAAGGCAGCGCGGGACTACGGTTCACATACAAGATATATACATATAAATATATATATATATATATATATTTTTTTGTCGAGGGTATTCTACATCATTGCGCGACTTTACATAAACTATATATATATATAAATATAAATATTTAAATAAATAAATTTGAATTTCTTTTTCTAGCCTCAATTTTACAAAATACCCTCGTTTATATTGTTTCTATATATATATGTATATATACAAGTATGTGAAGTGTATGCATAAAGTACTCTAGGCTTTATAGGTATATGTGTGTGTTTGTGCTTGGTTGCGTGTGTGTGAGTGTGTCTGTGTGTTTGACTAATATTTAATGGTGGTAATCGTGGATTAATGGGCGGCACTGATTTTGTGTTAGTTAACATTTGCTATATGTTTACTTTTATAATACATATATATGTTTCTATATATATATATATATATAATAGATAATACAATTTCATAGATACTCTATATATATATATATAGTTGTATATATATGGATAATTTTGTATAAGCAAATTATTAGCTATAATACAGTTTACATTTAAATATGTCTATAACATTGAGCTGAAATCCGATCCTATATATATATATATAGATCTATTGTTTCTCTTAAGATTTTTGCATACTTTTATCTCGATATATGTTCATAGATTGTTAATTTCGAAAATATACAGGCTATACAGAAGTTCGTTAAAGCGGCTCTTAGGCTAAGATATACATATTATAGGTTTTATATCGCTTATAAAGTATATAATATATATTTATATATAACGTATATATAGGCTGGCATATAGTTTTGAATCGATTATGGCGCTACGCTCTATGCTTAAAGGCCATCAAAAATATTTGTTTGGATTTTGCTTTAGTTTTTCCCATTTCAGCTTTTTTAAAAATATTTTTTAGGTTAGCTACTTAGGCACAACACATAATAGCGATCGATGATATATAGTACACATGTTCCACTATTATAAAAGAATTTCCTTTGCATTTTTTTTTTTTTGTTTTTTTTTTTTTTTTTTTTTTGATTTCTCATTACGTAATGGACTCCTAGACTCTAAAAAGAGCGCCTAAAATGAATTTAGAAATAAAGAGAGAGAGAGAGAGAGAGCTTTACAGTGGTGCACATACAAGAGAAGCAGAGAGAAAGTGTGTGAGAGACAGAGTTTGGGGGAGAAAGACTATGACTATAATGGAATTAATGGGTAAACGTGCTGTGGGGCTGTTGAAATTGTGGTTCAAAAAGGTTTTCTTTTTTTTTTTTTTTGGTTTTGCTAAATAGTTACAATGTACAAGACTACGTTGCTAACGTTGCTGCATCTTCTTCTTCTTTGGTTTTACTACATTTTACACTTGGAATTATCTGCAGTTCTTCGTTAATTAATACGTATTCTGTTTCTTCTTCTTCTTATTGCAGCATTCGAATTGTACTTTCGTTCAGTTTTTTTGTTTGTTTACTTTTTGTGCCTTTTCATGTTGAGCTTTTACTTTGAAATGGTTTTGCCTGCTATGGAGGGAGCGAGAATGGCAGAAAGAGAGGCAGGGTTGATTGGCATTGGGGAATGCGTGTTTCATAGTGACACAGAGAGAGAGAGAGAGAGAGAGAGCGAGAAACAGAGAGACATATACAGATAGAGATTGAGCGCGTGCGTTGTAAAACGTAGCCTTAATTAACCGTTATGCAAAGCCACACAGCTGATCGACAAGATCGTTGAGGTTAAGTTGATCTTGAGCTCCTTTCAACTTAGGTTAGATTGAATTGAATTGAAGTTGACATAAACTTTGATGATTTGGACTGAATTAGGATTACCTAAAGTGAAGTTTAGAATTGTTGATTCCAAATGGGACTGGGTTGAATCATAGGCTGGATTGAGCTTGGGTTAAGTTTATCCGCAAGTTAGGTTATGTTGAACTTGAATTAAGATTGAGTTAAAATTTGCGTTAGTGTGGATAGAGGTTGACTTAAACTCTGCTTAAAACGTAGGTTAAGTTGAACCAAATATTTTTATAATCAAGGATATGGGTTGGTGAATGCCTGAGTGTTGTCATTGATGGCATCGAGGCTATCCATGCAAGTGACATCAAGGGTGGATATAGAGAGGGGGAGGGGGTGACAGTGTGAGAGAGAGGGACAGAGAGTGAGAGTAGGTGAGTGAATCCGGGAGTGTGTAGAGGCATGTTTAGCTGCGTCTACAGATCAAAATAAAACTCAACAAGCATTGCCTAAAATTGGTTGACCTTCAGCTCGTTGCCCTGCAGCTGGACGAGTCGGAACGCCTCCCTGATGGTGGGCGTCATTAGCAATTTGAGATTCTCCTCGGCCTCGTTGGGTAGCGAGCGCAACAGTTCCATGGAGGCGACCACGAGCTGAGCCAGCGCAGCACGCTTATAGTTCGAGTCCTTCAGGATGCTCGTCGCACGCTGCTGTTCGATTTCTGGCGAGATGGACTCGGCCTCCGTCTTGGTCGCCTGGCGATTCGTGTCGAACGGATTGCTGCGGCACTTTGGCTGGAATTCGCTTATCAACGTGGTCATCGTCACATTCTCCTCCTCCAGCTGCACGCACTTGCTGGGCGATGTGGAACTGGGCCGTCCATTGTAGCTGATATCGTTGGTCAGATCCGTGTGATTGTTGGCGCTGCTGCTGGCCGCATCGCCGTTGCCATTGAGGGCAATGCACATGGACTTGGCCGCTCCCAGATGCATGGGCAGCTTCTGCTGCTGGCTGCGCAGCTTGCCGTTCTCGATGTCGTGCAGTGCCGAGTTGCTCAAATACAGCTCGCAGACCAGATTCCAGGCATCCTGCAGGCAGAACAGATAGCGCACGAAGTTCTCCTTCTTCTTGACCGTGGTGGTGTTCAGCCTGGAGCACGATTCCAAAATGAAGTTCAGATCTTCGGCGCCCAAATTGTACACCACAATGTCGTTCAGGTGCGAGTCGACCAGCGCTATGTAGTAGATCATCCAAGAGGAGGTCATCTGCTTGTACAAATTGGCCGCGTACTCGATATTCGAGACCTTCTGCATCAGAAATTTGAGTCCAGGACGCGAATCGAACTCCAGGGCGGACAT